TGTTTTAAGTTGGAAAAAAAAATTCATAAACGTAATCCATAGTATATGCAGGAAATAAACGTATTTACGTATGTATATCTAACATTTTTTTCTGCCGTTTTCAACTACCTCCCAGTGGCGCAGTGGTAAATCTGGAAGCTTAAAACACTAAAAATCGGGTTTCGATACTCGTGATGGGCACGGTAGAGATAGCCCATTGTGTAGCTTTGCGCTTAACAACAAACAAACAAAACAAACCTTATATATGTAAAGAAACAAATTAGCTCCAAATATATTACAGTACCAATGAATGAAACGACGATATAGGACAGTTTTTACAAGTGGTGACAGCGCATGGTGGTAAACATATGGCTAGAAATTATATCTTTAATATAGTAGCACATTCTGCAACTCTGTACACGTAACCAGGTAGTGCAATACACCGCCAGTTTCGCATACAACTCTTGCGCCAGTCCGAATGTTTCCAGTTTTCTGTTGTCGAGATTGGACATAAAAAGAATGAACTTATTTATAAATTAAAAAAAAAGAAGTTAATCTAATTAACCAAAGGGTAGTGAGTGCATAGTACCAAAACAAAAAATTAACATCCAGCAATCATGCCGACAACGAGAACCATCTCTCACACGTCTTTTGTAGCATTCTCTTGACTCCAGTGACTTTAGTGTGAGTCAAAAAATAATTGGTTAAACCAGAGGATTCTGCTTTGTTGAGTCAAAATTGGTGGAACTGAATCTTTTTTTTTTCTTCTTCTGTTACTCCCTTATGCTTTTGTGGTGAAAAATGTATAAAAAAAAACCTACTATGAAATATAAGGTCCGAAAAATGGTTAATATAATGGAATATACTGTGGAAAATTCGTTTATCGTTAAGCACCAAGCTTCACAATGGGCTATATATGCTGTGTTCATCGCAGGGATTCAAACCAGAATTTAAAAGTTATAAGCCCTTAAGCAAAAATAAGATTAATATAAAGAAACCAGAGAATTGAAGCTTATTTTTGAATAGTTTTTTTTTCTCATTATAATTTCATTGTGAATTTTTAAAAAAGGGGATAGAGGAATAAGATAATTGTTATGGACATCTTTGTCTTTATCATATTGTTGCGTCATCGAGGTCACGTGACTTGTGTGGCGCCCTCTAGTT